TTTTGCATGCTGTTGACCATTTATAGCAAATTGATAGCAGAATAGTGTACTATGATGCTTTTACAGCCTTCAAAAGATTCTTTTCTATTTCAAAGCATTTGTTTAACCTTATCTTTTACAATTTTCCATAAATTCTTATTGGATTTAAATCTGACAATTGTGCTGGTGAATCCAATTATCTTTTACTTTGAAGCAATCTCTTGGTGATAGTTTTGTGTATATTTTTTTTATATTATAAATATCAGTTGTTATAGTGTCTGTTATTAAATAAATAGGTCCAGATGACGAGAAATACCCCATATCATAATGCCAATTTTCAGTATTTTTAGTGTTATGTGGGTCAAACTCTTTGTTTGGTGGACAAACTGTTTACCATCTGATCTTAAAATATTAAATTTAAATGTCTGTCCACAAATTTAAACCCCATTTTTTCTTTGTCTGTGCAGAATATTTATGACAAAACACTTCTCTGGCTATTTTATGTTCTTTTTCTATAAATAAAGTTTCACTTCTTGAAAATAATTGATCTTGAAAATACGTTCACTTAAACTAAACTCTAACCATAAGTGAAGTTACATTTAATTTATTTTTTATTGGCTTAAAATAAATGGATATTTAACTTTTTTTTAAGTGAGGTAACATTTAACTTTTTTTTTAAATGTTACATTAAACTTTTTTTTAAATGAGGTTACATTTAACTTTTTTTAAAGTAAGGTTACATTAAACTTTTTTTTATTGGTGTTGCCTAAAATAAATGGATATTTATCTTTTCAATAAGTTATTTTTTTTTGTGACCCCAAATATCACTTTTTTGTGGTTTCTATATGACTTTCTATATGATCTAAATCCTTATATGACTTTCCATTGTTTTTAAGCTCAGATAATGTACAATGTGACATTTTATCCATAATATCCTAAGTTAAAACTATTATACAATTAATTTACTTTATATACATAATAATACCACCATCACATATTTTTATATATTAAAAAAACTTTAAAAGCGAAAGATAATACCTTTAACTTCAACAATGTTTTTTACTTTAATTGTAAATAATTAACTGAAATAATAATAATATAATATATTATTAATATATAATTAGTAAACTGTAAATAATTAACTAAACATAGATAGAACACTTAATTAACATACCACGTTTCAAATTGTATAGTACAATATTACTTAGGGAAATAGGAAGATCAGAGCAATTAGATAGGGGGTGGCCAAAGCAGTCAAGGTTGGGAATTTGAAAGAGAGGGATGGTAGTGACTCTCCTTTTGACTAAATATGAGGAGGAGTCTGTTGCGCCCATCCCACCAACTTTTTTAATGTCTGTGCTGTTACTGATAACCAGAGCCAATTGACATAATAGAAAGTAATAGCAATAAAGAATTAAAAAAAAACTATTTCTGTATTTATTACTTTATCACTAAATTTCCACCTACTTTAAACAAAGTTGTTAGTTGCACAAGAAAAATTAAAGTGAACTTTAATATTTTTAAAGATATAATTGTCAACACTATTCTTTATAAAAATAAAAAAAATTAATATCAATTATCATCAACTGCTGCAAATAAAATGTACTTTTCTAAATGTTTAGATCATGTATTTGTTATTTTTTCCACCATTATATGCAGTTATTAATAACTTTCTCAAACCAACACTATTTAGACATATACTAAAGCCCAAGAAGACACACATGTGGTGGTACTTTTACATTTATAAATAAAAAATACATATAAAACAAAACAATTAAAACTAACTATCATCTAAATAACAACTAACATAACTTAACTTTATATTTAGGTAATCAGGAACGAATTCAGACCTGTTTTGTTCCAAAAAATATTATTTGTTATTTTCTTATGCTTTTTTATTAAAAATAAGAAAAAAAGTTTTAAATGTATTAGTAAATAACTAATTTTCAGCAAAGTAGTAATAACTAATATCAGTAACAACAAATATCAGCTATAACAGTAATTAACTAATATAATATGCTATAGTGTTTGTAATTAAATAAATAGGTGTAGATGACGAGAAATACCACTACATCATAATGCCAATTTTTCAGTATTTTTAGTGTAATGCGGGTCAAACTCTTTGTGGACTAACTGCTTACCATATGATCCAAAAATATTAAATTCAGATTTAATATTTTTTTTAATTTTAAAATCATAGTTGCAGTACTGGTTTTAACTAGAGGGAAGCTATCACATCCCACCTCCTCAAGTTGCTGAAAAAAATAGTATCTCCGAATTAACTCTGGGTTTGTCACTGGTACTATTGCTTGTGTGTACCCAAAATACCTGCCAGAGGAAAATCCTCTTGTCTAATAATATCCTGTTATATCCTAGTTTGATCTAAAAAATTGTGCAATATTATTGAACCATCAATAACTATCATCAAAAAGATCTTTACTGACACATACCATCCTATAACCACTAAATTAGCTCACACCAAAACCACACCATGCCAAAATGTTGATGGATTAACATCTTTTTAAAAACCTGCAATAATTATTACCGATCAACAATCCATTGTTCAAAAAATATCTCCAAATTCTTTGTGATGGCAGAAGTGACCTCTATCTACCATGCATTATGGAAGCTCAGCAAACTTTTCTATGCAAATTATCTGTTTTTTATCTGTATTCTTAGCTTAGTTTATTATCTAACAATAGATAAAATTGTACTATTATATTATATATATGATATTTTGTTTGATACCTTTAAAAAAAAATAAGTTAATTAACTCTTTCTAAAAAAATAAGTTAATTAACTCTTTCCAGACAAATGAAAAATAAGAAAAAAATTTGAGAACAACATAAACAATAAATGGAAACAAATTTAATTTTAATTGATTATAGTCTCAATATTCTAAAATAACTATAAATTATGACAAAAATAACAAAACATCAGGATTTTTACTGAAATGCCATTTGAAGTGTCAAGAATCAATAATATGATTTCATCTTTATGTCAATAGTGATACTTAAGCATGAAAACAAATTGTATAGAGTATTGCAAAACAAATAGTGTTAAGAAACAACATATGCAGGTTAGTTTTTAAAAAGAAATTAAAAAAAAAATTAGCTTATGAAATAAAAATTATGATTTCCTTTAATATATTTAGTTGACTTTTACAAAACTATTTAAAACAATCTTTTTCCACATAGAAAATTTCCACCAAAATAATATGTACTTAAGGATGCAGTGTGGATCAAGCAACAACTCTCTTGCATGTTCTCACTAAATCAGCTGATCTATGTATTGCTCTCTACAGCTCATTTATTTCAATTTGTTTTAAATTTAAAACAATCAAAAATATATAACTTTAGCAAAATCAAAATATTTGCTGAAACTGTTGTTTTAACAAGAATAAATCTCATATTATTATTACTCAAGTCTGCTATACATAAGTGTGCCCTACATGCCATGTAAAAATCACCCATGGAGCTTTCATGTTTCAGTTCACTTGGGCCTTTTAGCAAAGAAATGTTTTTTTTCAAGTTAATCGTTTAAGATGGTCTTAAGCTTACCTTAAATAAAACTAAATTTCTGAAAATTAAATTTCAATCTTTTTTTTTCTCAATAAAATTTCAATAAAACCCTAAGCTAATTAAACATGGTAATTTAACAAAGTTTTTTGAATAAATATTGTACATTACTCCCACCTAAGCAAAAAACTATTTTTTTAAAAAAGCTGTTTTTTTTTTTGTTTTTTTATGTTTAGAATGTTTAACTATTTTCTTTGAAAACATTGGACACTTCACAAAAAAATTTTTTTTTTAAATAACTAAACTAACAACAACTTTTTTATAACGCAATCTTATTCAAATATAACTATTTCTTGTTTTGAATTTTTATTATAGCTTGTTACTTTCTTGGTTAATTAGAACATGTAAATTAACTGTTTTCAGTAAATACTTGAGGATCAAATGTCAAATATATATATATATATATATATATATATATATATATATATATATATATATATATATATATATATATATATATATATATATATATATATATATATATATATATATATATATATATATTAGGGTGTCCCAAAAAACAACATTTTTGAAAATAATCTGCTCTCACCCCCTAAATGTATTCTATCTAATGCAAAAACACTAGGTTTAAATTTTTTTTAATAAAAAATATTTTAAGGGGTCCCTTAAGATCCTCGAATATTTAATGGGTCCCTAATATTTTTGAAAAAAAAGTTTAAAAATATGTCAACCTGGTACTCAAATGAAGCGAAATTATATAAAAATTTTAAAAATAATATTCATTTCGAAACAAAATTGTTATTTTTGGTTTAATAAAATAAAAAATTGCTATTTAAGAAAAAATGAAAAAAATGCATTTCTAATGTTTTTTTATGATAATTTTGATAAATAAGTTAAAAATATTTTTGAAATGATTATTATTTTTGAAATATTTATATAATTTCCCTTCATTTGAGTACCAGGTTGACATATTTTTAAACTTTTTTTTCGAAAAAATTAGGGACCCATTAAATATTCGAGGGTCTTGAGGGACCCCTTAAAATATTTTTTATTCAAAAAAAATTTAAACCTAGTGTTTTTGTATTAGATAGAACACATTTAGGGGGTGAGAGCAGATTATTTTCAAAAATGTTTTTTTTTGGGACACCCTAATATATATATCAAATAGTATTTTAAAAATTAAACTTATTTTGTGGCAATTTAGTTAATTGCAGTGGTTTTAAAAAAAATTGATACCCATAATTATAAAAAGCAAATAAAAAAACTTATTTGCTTTTTTTCAGAAACAAAAATAACTTGTGACTTAAGTAGCGGCTTCTTGCAACTTTGGTGGAAATAAATTTGTTGAAAGAAAAATATGAAATTTTAAACATTTATTAAAATGATTAAAAATTAAAATTATGATAGTAAATCTAACCTTAAAAAATATCATGCACAAATGAATAAAAAGATTATAAAACAAAATAAAAGAAACCATCTCACGTGTTTCATGACAAGCTTTTACCACATCAGTATCACATAAGTGAATGTAGATATACCAAGAATAACCAAGCATCTCCTTGTCACTGTATCCAAGAATGGAACTTGTTCTAATTCCCAAGTTATAAAAAAAAATTTTAATTGACATAATTAAAATAATTTAATTTATTTTAATCTTAACAAAAAATTAAAAACTAATTATATTCAAATTTGAAAGATGAAATTTTTTTAATGCTAATAAACCAATTTTTATTTGACAAAACAGTTACTATCAATGGCAAAATCTAATTAAGCCCAAAATAAGAAAACCAAGTAAACAGAAAACATAGAATTACATCTTACATGTTATCCATTTCAAATATTTTCATGTCAAGGCTGTGCTTGCTGATAAATGTTTTTCTATCTATAGGAAACTCAACTGATGTAGAAGTCAATAAGGGGTTACCAATTGCAAGTAAACACTGAGTGAAACCTTCATTTAGATCGAGTTTTGTTTTATAGTTTTTAATTGTCCCAGTGCAATGCACAACCTAAATACAGCACTGTCAACATATAACTTATTTTAATAAAATAAAATAAATTAGAAAGCATTAAAACTATGGTATTATATATGAAAAAAAATTTTTAAGTTCTTTTTAAAGGTCAGAGAGGAAACTACGTTTGAGGAGCTTATTTTTTTTTTCTCTCAATATTATAATTTTGAAAACGAACCTCAACATACAAAAACGCTTTACAGAGAAACAAGCTATGAAGCACTACCTGAGAATCTATTGAGATTTTAAAACCACGCACTTGATTGTGAGCTGAAAATTTTACCACTAGCCTACTATAGCATTACATTTTAAAGAGTTTCTGATGCATAAAGGCTAATTTTAGATAAATTAATGAACTGTGAATTATGAAAAATAAAAAACTTATGAGATCAAAACCTCTATAAAATTTTAAAAATGTCCCTGAAATTATTTTATAGATAACTTACTCTGTAAGTTGATGCATTTATATTGACATTTTTACCACGACTGGTCAGAGTCGACTTCATACGCAAGAAGAATGATCGATATGGACTATTCTTGAGCTCATCACAAATTTCTAAAAACAATTTTTATTGAATTATTTTTAATCATTTCATTTAATATTAATATAACTATATTAATCAACAGAGGCTTTTTTTTTAACATGTAGTTAAAGAGTTTTAAATAGTAAAAATATATAAGCACATTGCAAAAATCTAAACTAGAGAATAACAGACATTAATTAAAAAAATAAAGTTGTAAACTTTTGAATAAACAACCTTGCTAGCTTATGAATGTTTTTTTTTACATAAAGAAAATGATTGTTAATTCAACTTAATTTTCTTATTTGTTTTTTATATAACTTTTTAACTAAGACGCAATAAAGCCATGCAAATTATCTAAGTTTGGTAAAAGCAAAACTTAAATTATACTTAAAATATTTTTATCCCTTATTAAAATTGTTTTATAGAGCAATTTTCAACTGTTTTTCTGTACTGCTGAACATTGGTGAAATACCATTTAAAAATTTGACTCTTGAATAATACTCTAATAAACAGGGGAAGGGGTGGGGTGGGGGGTGGGGAATTTTCTAACAGTTGTTTCTTTTTTTCAGTAGGATTTAATGTTGATATAAGTTTTATATTTTGGTGAAAAATAAAATAAAAGCTCATTTTCGTAAATTGAGATTTACTTGGAGATCGTCTATAAATTACATAAACACAAATTTTCACAATAAACACAATAAAAAAGATCAAAAGTTTTCTCTCGCAGAATCTTTAAATAAAAAAAGTAAATTAGCGCATTAATGAAAATTGCTGCATAAGAGTTTAATATCTCCTACTTCTGTTTTTTAAATACATTTTGGGGGGGAAGGGGGTCTTGATAAGCTTGGGGTGGAGAAATTTTCCAATGAACAAACACCCCCCCCCCTTTTTATTAGGGACTTGAGATTGTACATGATATAAAAAGTTTTCCAAAAAAATATTTATTTACTTAATCCATTAATCTTAATAAAACTTTTATTATTCTCAATAAAACTTGTATTAATCAAAAGCTAAAAGCTAAAATACTTTAAACAATCATGTTAAAACTAAATACTTAATTATATTTCATACATTTTTTAACAATTTAAGGGGTCTTTAATATAATAGTTAGATTATTAAAATAGTTTGCGCATACTAATTATGCATTTCTACACATTTAAAGTAACACTTTAAATCTAAGTCTAATATAGGTTAATTTTTTTATTGACTTTTTGAACTTTAGTGAATTTCAAACCAATTGGGAAATACAGCATACCATTAGACTTTCTATGTTTATAAAAATATATCTTTCTTGATAAACACTATCAGGTACACTATTCCCAATCTCTGTCTAAGATCATTGTTTATTTTCTCATCTGTTAAAGCCACACATTACATCCATCTGTTCATAATCTTCTTTATTCTTTCCAAACAATTGACAGCAAAAACTTTTATTGTGTTTCTTCTGCTCCCTCAGCTGATCCAAATATATTTCCAAGATATAGCAAAAATTACTAACACAGTCTATTTTAGAATAGATATAGGAAAATACATTATTATACTTCCAGAAATTGAGTTTTGAGGAGTATTTACCCTCAAGCTTAAGTGAAAAGGAGTTTCAACATGAAATCAAAAAGAGCGCATTAGGCATACTACAAAGAATGATGTTACAAGTATAAAATCTATCAGATATCAGACATTGTTTTAAAGCGTTAAACTGCTGGCAATTTATGTTACGCTATTTAAGGCCTAAAGCAATTTATGTTAAGCAACTTTTTATCAAGTTATTAAAGAATTCCCTAAGTGCCAAGACAAATTGTGTTCATATCATAGATAAACATTAACAAATAAGTTAAAAGTTAATTAACTTCCCAAAACAAATTAGTGAATGATATATTAACAAAAGCATTTGTTGTTTTGCCATTATACTTCCAGCTGAAAGCCTAATATTAGGCTCTCAAATCTGCATTGTTTTTTTCCATTAAAAAAACATCTGGTTTCAATAATAAATGTTTTCGCTCATCACAAAGTTTTTTAAATTCAGTTCAGTTTTACACAATCAGAATGGGTTTTCTGCTTAATATTTAACTTGGGGTGATTATAAAAAATGTTTGCTGTAGCATGTTTTTGTTTTTGGTTCAACCTATTGTTAAGTGTTTGAGTTTGAATAAACTAGTATAACAAAAATATTAACTAATCGAAATGAACTTTAAAATACACAAGATTAATATTTTTTTTAGAAAATAAGTAATCAATTTTTTTATAAACAACACTAAGTGCAATATAATCCAACATAATTAAATTTTGAAAGATTTAAAAATCTTTATTTTTTTAATAAATAATATTTTTAACTTACGTTTATAATAATTTATATTTCTAATTAAGCTAACCTTTTTAAGATGATCTAATATTCTTTTTTCATATATATATAAAATTGTTATTAAAAACTTGAATCTTATATTTTCGTTTAACCGCCAAAGGGAAAATTCCTACATTTTGAACTTGATTTAAGGTTTTTAAAAGAAAGATTTTCTATTGACGTCAAATATAAGCGCATTTATCAGACTGGATTTAAAAAATGAAAATAGTCATAGAGCTGGAATTTCACTTTGCGAGAAACAAAATGATGTTAAAAATTAAAAAGTTTTTTTGTTAATGTCTCATTCAACAATTTGTTTTGGAAAGTTATAACTTAATTTCAAATGTTTATCTTTAATTTGAACACAACTTGTCTTGGCACTTGGGGATTGCTTTAAACGAAATTTGAAAAAAAACATAAAAGAAATATTTGTAATAAAAAACTTTGATTTATCATCTTACAAGCACAAGAATTTATACATATATACTTTTATAGTAATAAAAAAATTTAATAATAATAACTTAAATTTCTATTTAATAATAAAAAATAAGTTTTTTATTATTAAATAGAAATAATAAAAATTATTTTTTATATTTATTTTTATTTATGTTATTTTATTTTTATTTTTTATGAAAGAGATTGATTTTTTCCGAAAAAATATTTTCACCATTTGGTAAATTGGAGTGAATTCAACACATTGTCAGGCTTTGTTATGAGATTTTGTTGTGAAACGGAAAAGTATAACACAAGTAGGGGAGGTAGGGGAGCATTGGGCAGTTGGGAGGTTCGGGTACCCCCTCATTTCTCACAAACTATTCTAGATATATTTTATTTTCTACCATAGCATTATAGTTTTATAACTGGCAACACCATTCATCAAAAGTGTCAGCTGTCATTTCACTTGGTTGTCAAGTTACATGCGCTTAACAGTTTGTTGCATACAAAAGTATTCATTTTGTTTGTGATTTGAAGAAAGATAAAAAAGAAATCTGCAAGAAATTGTAAGTATGTGTGTTAACTTCTTCTTTTGTGTTTAATGAACATTATATTTACCTGACAATTAGGATTCAACATTTGATAAAAATAAACTTATTCAAATCTGTTTGAAAAGTGAGGTTATGGGGAGCATTGGGCACGCAGGTAAGAGGGAGGTTTGGGCATACCCAATGCTCCCTCTTTTTTTAGTGTGTTTTTTTGTCATATGTTAGTGCTTTTTTGCTATGACTATTGGATTGAATGGTTAATCATTTCTTTTCAGGACAATGCCATTTTTATTTAAAAAGAAAAACAAACGACATGAAATCCCTAAAGATGTTATTTTGCGTGCATTGGAAGAGGTTTCTAAAGAAGGAAAAATTAAAACTACTGCGATTAAATATGATATATCCAGGTCTAACCTTTAAAGATACATTAAACAGGGTGATGTTGTGAAAGATACTTCTTGCAAATATATATCATCCCAAATATTCACAAAAGATGAAGAAAAAATTTCAGAATATTTTGTAACATTGTTTAAACTTAACCATGGAATGTCAAAACTGAAGGCACACAAATTAGTATACGAATACGCCACTGCCATTTATAAGAAAATACCAGACAACTGGACAGAGAAGAAACTTGCATCCAAAGATTGGCTAAGGGGATTTTTTAAAAGACAACCTCAGCTTTTGATAATGACCCCAGAAGCTACTAGTTTCTCACCTGCCACAAGTTTCAATAAAAAAAATGTTGGAGATTCTTTTGAAAATCTTAAAACTGTATATGAACGACATCGTTTCAGCCCTGAGTCTATTTACAATATAGACGAAACTAGATTATCAACAGTACAACGAACCCAGAAAGTGATTACTCTCAAAGGCACTAAACAAGTTGGGCAAGTAACGTCAGCTGAAAGAGGGACACTTGTAACTGTTTGCTACGGCATTAATGCATTGGGTAACTCAATACCACCTTTTATCATATTCCCACAAGTTATTTTCAAAACATGTTAAATGATGCACCTGTTGGTTTAGATGGAGCAGCACATCCTTCAGGGTGGATGACAGCACCAAGTTTTTTAAAATATATACACCATTTTGCAAAATACGCAAAACCAACACCTTCATCACCAGTTCTATTGCTGCTGGACAACCACGAGAGCCATATTTCAGTACCAGTTCTTGATTTTTGTATAGAATCAGGCATTGTTTTAATAACTTTCCCATCGCACTGCAGCCATAAACTGCAACCACTAGATCTGACTGTCTATGGACAACTCAAAACTTATTATAACACTGCTGTAACAGATTGGATGGTGAGCAATCCTGGCAAAACGGTAGCAATTTATGAAATCCCAAAATTAGCAGCAAAGGCCATCCCACTTGCATTCAAGTTGCAAAATATTCAAACGGAATTTGAAAAATCTGGCATTTGGCCATTCAATTCAAACATTTTCTCTGATGAAGATTTTGTTTGTTCTTCTATAACTGATCACTACTTGCCGGAAGAGAATAATGTTGCTACAGAAAAATCGATTTCAGACCAACATCATAAAACAGTCTTCAACAAAAGAAAATCTGAGACTAGAAGATCATAGAAGTTCAAATGTGGAAGTCACTGGGCCATCTCAACTTGAATCTCTATCTAAAAGCCAGACTAGTGGCACTGTCAATTTAACACCTGATTTAGTAAGACCATATCCAAAAGCCGGCCCCAGGAAATTGGGTGGCATGAAATGGAAGAAAGGAAAAACTAAGATATTGACAGACACACCCAAGAAAAGACTTATAGAAATTAAAGAAGAAAAAAAAACAAAGGAAAAATAAGATCAAAAAGCTCAACAAAAATCGAAAATGCTCTAAAAACGAGAAAAACAGGAAGATTAGTAGTGATGATGAAATAGAAAATGTTTCTGTTTCTGACGAAGCCCTTGTTGAAATCGATTCATCAGAAGAAGATTTTGATGTAGACGATGTGATTGTTACGGATAGAAATTTCCAGGTTAATAACTTTGTGTTGGTTAAATTTGACACCAAAAAAACTGTTTATCATTATGTTGGAATTATCGAAGAGGTTAATCACTCCATGGCAACTGTCAAATTTATGAGAGCGAGTAAGATAAGAAATACGTTTATGTTTCCTGATATCGAGGACGTAGCCAGTGTTCCCCTGGAGGATATAAAGACAAAATTGCCAACATCATCAACATGGATGAAATGTGGCAGCTTAAAATATAAATTTGACAAGCCTCTTTGAGTCATACCAAATTTAAGATAAGTCTTATTAGATCCAACATTGTGGAGTATTGATTCCAAGTAACATTGTTTAACCTTTTGTAAAGTCTATGATATGAAAAAATGTTTGTGTTACAATTTTTTATAGCAATGCTATATAACACTTAAGCATAATAGTATTGTAAAACAATATCGTTCATATTAAATACAGTGCCAAAACCTCCCCATAGTGGTGCCCAAACCTCCCAACCACGGGGAGGTTATGGCACTTTGTCAGTTAATTTTGTCAGTTGCATATTTTAAAGTACCGCATTGTAATTAAATTCAATTTAAAACCATATTCAAAATCTTTGTAAGTTTTTGTCTTTATAAAACATCTTTAAATTAAACAATATTGTTATAAAAAAATTTATAAATAAAATTCAAATGGTGTTTGAAAAAAAAAAATTTCCTTATTTTCAAAAACTTATTTTTTCTCTTTAAAACATATTAAAAATAGTCTAATGCAATACCAACATTTTAAAGTAACTTGAATTAAATTTATTTTAAAAATCTTTTTTCTTTAAACATAATTTCAGCAGCAAAAAAAAAAATTGTTAAACTGAACATTTTAAAATTTAAAAAAAAATTAAAATTAAATAAATTTATATTTGTTAATATTTAATAAATTTAATTTAAATATAATAATATTTTTTTGATTAAAACAAAATAATAAAGATATCAAGAAAAACTGACATTATAGTTTTAGTAAGAGCTTGCATTCTCTATTTAAGTGTGATTTTCAAGTCTTTAAAACACAATGGCTTTTTTTAACAGAATCTACAGACTTTATAATTTATTTAAGTGTGTTTAATTCCAAAGAGTTTTATTATATGATTTCATTGTAAAATTTTGATAAGAAATTTAGAAACTCTTTACAATTATTTTTCTTAATGAATAATTTGTTTAGTTATTTTTTTTCTTCTAATTTTTGCAAAACTTACATAAAAAATATGAATAAAATCTTTCTGATATTTTAAGCTTGTTTATTGGTATAAATTGGTTTTGTGTTATTTTTAATGTTATTAAATTATATATATATATATATATATATATATATATATATATATATATATATATATATATATATATATATATATATATATATATATACATATATATATATATATAAAAATTATGAACATAACTATAAATAAACAATAATAAGTTAAAAACATAACCACATTCTAAAATAAAAAAAGAAAGTACCCAATAAAGGGTTTGTCTGCCGTGTTAAAAATCGGAGCAATATAATTTTCACAGCACTACGCTAATTTGTAATTTACTTGAAAAAATTAATGAATTCATAAGAAACAATTATTTTTAAAAATGTATAGTAAACATTAAACTTATGAGTTAAACGTGCTAAATAATAAAGTCAGTAGTTTAACAAAAAAATAAAGCGGTTATATTTTAAACTAAAAAATTTCACTGAAATAGAGTAAGCGAGCTTGGACTAAAACTACAAAGTTTACTAAAACTACAAAGTTAGTTTTAGTTGGTTTACCTTTATTATTTTGTTTTACTCAAAAAAGGTTTAGCCTAGACATTTCTTTAAAACATTCTCTTTAATATGAATACAACTTGTCTAGGCATTTTTAAAGCAATTAGTTATAAAGGCTTAATTTTAAACAGTTTTTAAATAAAGAGTTCTTTATAGTAGGTATATTGTGAAGTAGTCTGGAACCAAACAAAAATCAGACTAAACATACATAGTAAAAAATTTTATTAGTATTTAAACAAAAATTAAATTAAAACATAAGTTTTGACTGTTATTATTTTTGAAGTGGTAAACTTATTGTTTTTTTGTTTTTTTTTTATGTAAATTTTCACAATATGATAAACAGTTTTTCATTAAACAGAGAATTTGAAATTGAGAATTTGAAGACCAGAAGTTTTTTCAATATTAAAAATTGTAATATTGAAAAATTGTGATAAAAAAATACTTTTCTTGGGATTCTGCAAACATGGTGCTGCCTCAGAACAGAACAAGCCATCAAATATTTCCATATCTTCAAGAGGAACTTGACCACCTATTTGTTCAGCTAATGTAGCTTGATCACATGGTTGCACATACTTATAAAAGCTGTCACCCATCATATCTAACTAAACAGCAAAAAAATATTGAAACCAATCATTAGTAACAATAAAACAATTCAAAACATTAAAACACACAATAATTTTTCAATTTTATTATAATCAAAATTTATTGCAGCAAAATCATTTGCCTTTTACTGTTATTTATCAGTTTATTTATATCATACATTCAAGTAATGATTACTTAAAAGTATGGTATAAATAAACTGATAAACATAAAACAATCAATCTCTATATAAATAAACTTAATTAAAACAATAAATTATTAATAAAAATATTTTAACTTTTTGAGTCATAAGAGCAAAAAATATTTCAAAGATTTTAGTTTTTTTTATACTGAATTCAACAAATCTTAACAAATATTAGAGAAATAAAGATAATTATTTAAACAATATTGAATATTATTTATGTATTAGTGATAATAAACAAATAACCTTATTTACAAAAATTAATAACAATATTATTTAAAAAATTGAATATTATTTGCGTGTTAAGAAATGCTAGAAAATCTTACTTACTTGGTTTAATCCAAGATTTTCTTTAATATTTGGAGAAATATACAAACATTGACCATCTTTATTTAAAACAAAAATAAAGCCTCCAAGAGCCTGTGGAATGCATGCATTAAAATAACTAGAAGTATTTTGTTCTGGTGTTATAGTTCCTGTACAATAGCAAAATGAAAAAAATATATACTTGTAAAAAATAGTTACTTGAGCATATTACTATAATACTAATTAACTTCAAGAATATAAATATTAACCTATAATTTGCTTTAATACATGCTTAATCTTTATAAAGCTATTTGATAAACGCATTGTACAAAGTCGATCAAGATTTTCAGCAACTCCTTTAGGAAGTGGCAGCTGACAAGCCAATTCACCAAACTCTCCATTTTGTTTTCCTCTACGCTGCCGAGCAGCATCTCTAGATTTATTTCTTTTTGATTGTTCCATACCAATAAAGTAACATTCCACAAAAAGGTTTTTAAATTACTATTTAGTTAGATTACACTATATTAAATGTTCAACTTTTATATAAATAATGTAAATTGTTAGCAAATAATAACAAGTCTGATGACAACAATAAAATGTAGTTTTAGAAATTTTGTTTTTAACTAGCTTTACTAAATCAATATTTACAAGACCTAGTTAAATAAAACAACAAAAATATTTTTTATGATGATATTAAATATTATGGTTGCTTAATTTTAAAACATAACAAAAAAAAAAATATTAGTAAAAATGTATAATAATAGTTTTATTAAATACAATAAAACAAAACTTTGTTATTGTGTTTTAAAAATCTTTTGGACAATCATTTTATAACCGTACGATATACAATGTCCATATTATTGTTATGATTGTCCTAAAGATTATTTTTTAAAACTGAACTAATCAAGTTGTCAAACTATGCACTTAAATCATAACATAAAGGAATTATGTAAATAATAAATAGGTTATGTTTTTTGATTAAACATTTACACAATATTATACAACTTTGGTAATATTTCAATTTTACAACTTTGCTAATACAATTTGTTTTAAAATGTTTTATTACTTCTTGAGTATGTTTATTCTCTTTGTTTTAAATATACTAGAAAAAACAAAGTGAAATAATATATTTTACTAACTGTAAAGTAAATCCTATGTGCTGTAGAATCTAATATACCAACTTAATTATTGAAGAAAATAGGAAGAAAAAAATGTCTATTTCCATTATAATATATATATATATATATATATATACATACATATATATATACATATATATACATATATATATACATATATATATATATATATATAAATATATATATATATATATATATATATATATATATATATATATATATATATATATATATATATATATATATATATGTATATTTATACATATATATATATATATATACATATATATATATATATATATATACATATATATATATATATATAAATATATATATATAAATATATATATATATATATATACATATATATATATATATATATATATATATATATATATATATATATATATATATATATACATATATATATATATATATATATATATATATATATATATATATATATATATATATATATATATATGTATATATATATATATATATATATATATAAACACACACACAACTTCTGTTGTAGTTGGCGTTTCAGTATTAGCTTTCAAGATTTTGACTCATTATTGATACGATCTAATTATTTAAATGAATAATATAAGTTGCGTAATCTTTTTAAGTCGATTATAAACTTTATAGCAATAACAATTTATTGTAACAACATTAAATTTAAAGAAAGGGATAACTATTGTTATTTTTCTTAATGATAATCCTGAAAGTATTTAAAAATTTAGTGATTTAAAAATAAATGTGGTTTTAAATCACTCTTTTCAAATTAATTGTTTTAAAGCACTACACAATTTACACTTTTAATACATGTTTAAAAAATTTTAAATTACAAAAACACTCGATTACAACCAATGCGTCTTCGTTCTCGTTTAAATAAAAAAATTAAAAAAAAAAAAAAGATCGTGGTTTTACTGAGGCCGTTTAAACGTTTTAATCGGTTCTTAATCTCGACGGCCATTCGATATTACCGCTTTTGATGGACATTCGATGTTACAGCTTTTGATTCGATAGCATTAAAATTTATATCTATGTTTGTTTTTTAGTATCTCTATTTATCTATGTTTGTTTTTTAGTATCTATATTTTCGTTTTTTACTATTAAAGTTCGTAGTATTAAAGCTTTTATACATTCAAAAATAAACAAATTACATATATGGGAGCAAAAAACAAATTCAACGTATAAAAGTTAATTATTACAAATTTTCATAAAATAACAATGTTATAGTTGAAAATAAAAATACAAAAGGTAATATTGTTTAAATTATAATTTAAAAGAAATCTTTAATAAGATTTGTAAAATATTATTTTTAATTAATTTTTCAAAGCAACTAATATTTTTTTACACGTGTGATATTATTATCTTTTGCTAATAATTTATTCCAAATATGAGGAGCACGATATGTACTTTCAAACTGTCAATGTTTAGTTTTGCATAGAGATTCTATTAAGGTGCCCTTAGCGTGCAAAGTATATTTAAAGTTAGGTTTTATTTCATAGAGATCATGAAAAATTGAAGAACATTGTTAATATTTACTTTTATACATAAGATATAAAATTTTAAATATGTTTAGCTGATATAATTGATAAATATTCATACTTTAACCAAGTTAATATTTATATTCAAATCAAGCGCATTGCTAATGAGGATATAAATTGCTATTGCTATATAATTGCAATTGCTTTATTAAACCTAACTGTAAACAGTTTGGTTTAATAATAATTTGGTTTAATAATAAAGGAGAAGGTGAAAAGGAATATTCTCAAAATTTAAGAAGTAAACTTAAAAAGTAAAATAAAGCAAGATCAACATTACAAAATATTTTCTAGCCGTTTATATAGTTTGTTAAACTAACTTGGGTTTATAAATATGATATCGCTATATATGAGCTTAGATAATCTAAACAAGGCACTAAACAAGACCCTTACCATATATTTTATATATAACCAGTTTTAATCATAATTTTTTTTTATGTTTATTTTATTAGTTTATTTTATTTTTTTCCTCTGAACACAACTAGCATACATTTAAATTAATTTATGGTTTTATTTTATTTTTGATTTAATGCATGTACCGCAAAAGAAGTTTTTATTTTAACATCAGTATTAATACTGATGTTAATTATTATATATTATCTGCATTTTAAGGTTTTTATAGTTTTATAACAAAACTGTATGCTGCTCACTAATATAAAATTTTTTTTACAATAAGATTATAAATTGTAGTGACTGTTCAAATAGTTTTAAATGTCGCGTCATAGCAGAATTGTATTTAAAACGTATTTATTCTGAAGTTATATTGTTCTAAAGTTATATTAAAGCGTTTGCATTGTAAAAAAAGAATATGGAATTAAAAAATTTATTTTTCATTCCGCCAAATTAAAAAAAAAAAAAAAAAACAGTGCATCTTTTCTTTAGAAATATAAATGGATGCAATCGAAATTGAATTTTGTAATAAATCTTGCGGTTTTTCTGTGACAATTAAATTCTAACGTTAAATCGCTTGATAATAATATAGTATATTTTTATAATAGGAAAAAGTTTTAAATTGAAATGAAACGGAGTATAAACATTAATGCAAAAAATATTTTGCGTGTTATATTGTTACATACCTGAAATTGTTTACACCAAGGTGGTTTAATAAACCTCCTTGATTTACATCAATAATAGTATTTACATTAAAGTACAGCAGACTTGAATTTATTTATATTTTTTTCTTGCGATTAGACCGAGTAACTTGTTAGAATGGTATGAATACCAAAATTATTATGTTAATACTAATGTAAATTAAGGATGCATATAAAAAAAATGCGGGCATTAGAGTCTGGAAAAAAAAAAGATGCTGATATTCCCCAACCTAACCCATTTGTGAAGGCAATAGGATTTCTCCCAAAAACTTTGTTTTGATTTAGTGTACGTCACAAAATATGAATTTATCTACCATCAGAGGGGAAAAGTAACGTATTAAATTACTGTAATTGAGTAAATTTTTTTGTAAATTTTGTATTTTTTAAGTATCTTTAAATGTGTAGTTTAACTTTTACTTAAGTATTTTTTTAAAGTATTTTACATCGCTACATATTAAATCAAACACGATACCGAGTAAAAGAATTTATTAGGTATTAATATTGTTTAATTTCACAAAAAGTATAACTTAGTATTTTTAGTTGATAAAAAATAGCCCGTTTTATAAATTTGTTTCCTAATAGTTTCTTAAATGTCTTTAGGGATTGTCCATAAATTACGTAACTTTCTTAAAACTTATTTAAAGATAGAAGTAGCTCATTTGTTCTTTTGCGCGGTATTTTAGTGGACTTAAAGGGCTATTTTAATTTTTGCTTAATTAAAGACTCTGCGAGGGAAAACTTCTGATTTTTTCTGTTGTCAATTTGTTAAATTTAGCGTTGCGTGAAGTTATGAAGACATCACGCGTTCCGCTAACGTTTTATTTTATTCTTATCAGAAATAAATAAAAAATTTTCAAAGAATTTTTTATGAAAATTTTAATCGAAGTTTTATTATATTTACTAAAAACTATGAAAAGACACGAGAAAATAAAAAGTTTTTATTCTCTATTAATTATATATCATAGTTACTCAATAATTGGCATTATTTTGAAAATGTTCTTTATAGATGTTCCTCCATTCAAAGCATTTTTTTCATATATGGATAACGCACAAAATATAATTATAAATTTGCCAATTCCATATGTTTTTCTGCAAATTTAGCAAGAACAAAAAAAAAAAAAAAAAAAAAAAAAAAAAACAAAATAAAGAAATAAATAAAACATGCTTTAACTGAATAAATGATTAGTAAATAATGCAGCAACGGCTTTTGGGGGTGGCGACATCATGCGTTTGCACGTGGGAGCAAGTAAATTGGGCGGAAATTTTTATTGTAATTTTGCAATTGAAAATTAAAAAAAAAAATGTAAACAAAACGTACCTTTTTATGATTTATGTAAATTAAACATTTCATTGTAATTTATTATTTTTGAATTTAATATGTTAATATCTTGTCAATGAAAATCCTGGGAGTAATATTTGATGAACATCTTAATTGGAAAAGTCATATTTTTATACAAAACAAAATTTCAAAAACAATAGGCATTATGTATAAAACAAAACACCTACTAAGTAAAAAATGCTTAAAAGATATATACTACTCTTTTATTCATAGTTACATTAGCTACTGTAACATTACTTGGGCCAGTATTTGTTCATCAGCATTAAAAAAAATATATATAAAACAAAAACAAGCCAGTAGAGTTATATGTAATATGCATAAATGTGCCCACGCCAAACCGTTACTCCGTGAAATCAAAGCTTTAAACGTCTATGAGTTAAATTTGTACTAAAACCTACTATTTATGTTTAAATATCAAAACGACATGCTTCCTAAATACTTTAACAATCATTTTTCAATTATTTCT